CACAGCATAGGAAAATGATCAAGGTTAAACCTAACTTCAAGTTAAGGTTAGTTTCAACTTTAGGAGAAAAAATAATGCTGCCCATTTGGGAGTATGAATATTGGAATACAACTTGATCAAAATGCAAGAATTATAGATGCATTTACTGTAACATAGCTGTAACATGACTGTTCTGCTGGGTCATTTCTAAACTTCTGTGTGTGATTGCTAGTAAACTACAGGAAAATACAGAATCTTTCCCTGTTATGAAATAAGGTATTATAATAATAGAATGTCATAGTGGAAGTAGTTAATGCTGTCCCCTAATGAATAAATGTTAGGTTTCTCAGTAACAGGCCATATGGTATTTCTTCTGGTTGTTGGCCTGGATCTGATGGATACATAATTACTTTTTAACTTGGTCAGTGTCACTTTCATAGTAAATACTCCCATTGGGAGCAGTAAGTTCTTAGAACAACCTTGTGTTTGAACTTCTCAAATTTATTTAACTGTAAATAAATCATCATGTTAGTCTTCAGTATCAGAACTGGTGAGTATTTGTTCAATTCTGTTGAGCTGATGTTAAAGATAGCAACCTCTGCATAAACTGGGATGCAAAGAGTGAGAAGGTAAACCAGCTCTTTCATCTGCCAAGACTCAGTATGTTTCCAACACAGGTAACATTCCATATGCAATGAATTTTCATTTTGTTTGGCATATAAAAAATCTTTACTCAAAACTTAAATGACTCTGTGATACTTCAGTCTTTCATTTGACAATCTATTTGCTTTGCCCAGAGAAGATTGTTTCTTTCTTAGAGTCATTCTCAGTTTGCCAGAGTTTTCTCCTGTTAGTTTCAATTCCACTCAAAGAGTACTTTTAACTGAACTCTTCTTTGCTTGCAGCTTGTGAATCTACTGTCCAGCTGCTGTTTGATGCAGTTATACATTTAGGATGCAAGCCATACCTGGACAGCCAGAGAGCTGCTTGTATGTGTCATTACGAGGGCAAGACGGATCTCTGAGAGAAGACACCAAGATCTCGTGGTGTACAATAAAGCTGAAGATCCAGCCAAAAGGAAGCAAGTCTTGGTTACAAACCTTTAGGCTTTTCAGACAGTGATACATTAAACACTGACATGAATTCACTGATTTGAAGATCACTACGATATTCTCATTCATGTAAAAAAGAAACAAGTCATCCTTCTCTCCATTTTATGCCAGAAGCTTGGGGACTGAAATTGCTTTCCTTTGGTGTATGTCCACCTAGGGCGTGCCATTGTAAAATGCTGGTGCCATTTTAATGTTCCAGGAAGACTCCATAGTGGGGACATTGGAGGCACCAAGGAGTTATATTGAATTCTCAGGTGATTTTTAATACAGGTCACATTTTAGGTTTACTAGCAGTTGAAGCATCTGATGGGTTCAACAGGAGAGTGTGTTGTGTGTACCAGTATGAGACATCTTTCATAGCCTGTACCTGCATGTTTCTGCTGCAAGTTGCCTTGAGTTCTCTCTCATGTGTGTGGTCCTGCAGGTTTGTTGTTAAAAAGCCAGGAAAACACCCCAAGCCAATGTACATGCACTACATATTTCTACCTGATTCTATATCAATGCCTTACTTCTGCAGCACTTTTCAGATCAAATAGGTTGATCCCTTTAAGGGCTGTCCAGTAAAACGAATGGTTTGCAGCCTAAGGATATACTTTTGATTTGACAGAATGGTGAAATGTAGTTTCTATGTTATTTTTTAAAAATTCATCAAATGTCTGTTTTTGAATAAAACATTTTGTGTTGTGTATTATATGCACGGAAAGGATATATGTACAAATATGTTGATTTATATTTCTGTTGTGGCACAACTTGGCTACTGTATTCATCTTTGCTTTCATTTAGTCTGTTCTGATGAAAACTAAAAGGAAGTTCCACAGTTAAGATCATTGTGCCCAAAAAACTTATTTAATATGCCCTCTGTGAGGCTGATGGATATATAAGCCTGTACTTCTGTCACTTGTTCCCTCTCTGACTTCTCTAACTAAAATTACCTGATGTCTGAATTATTTGGGGTTTGGTCTCTGTACTTGTTGCTTACCTACAGGTGTCAGTTAACTTCTGCATTAGGTCTGTCCTCTGTTAGATAATGATTTGCTTTCATTAAAAAGCAATTTGCTATAAATATTCACAGGAGAGGAATGAAAATTAAAATATTGATCTGTGAACAGGCAATAGAAATTAAATGCATAAAATTCACTGGACTCATAGACTATAATGTGATACAATTTTGTGTGTTTTTTTCTTTACCAGTTGTGTTTTTGGTTTGTCACTAGAGCTTAGTGTACATGACAGTGAATGTAAGGGCTTCATAAACAAAAAGTTTCTGTTAAAGTTCTTTGGTTGTGCCTCAAGGTTTCTTTTCCTATTTGTGGATATGAAATAGCACTAAAAGAGAAATGTTATTGTAGAGCTTTATGAAACTTTGCTAGATGAACTTGTACTTCCCCTAACTTCAGTGACATTTATTTTCTACCATAGAATTGAAACAATTCTGCATTACCCTGGAATTCCATGGTTGTAACCCTACAAATCTTTTTAACATTAAAGGAGGGAATGTTAATGGTCTTGTTTGCTTAAAATGACAAAAGTACCACAATGAGTCCAAACCACTAATTCAGCTAGATGGCTTGCTGAGTTCTGTACAAATGGGCTCAAACTAGGTGCTTAAATTAATGCATATCCTGGGTTTGGATGGGATAGAGTTAATTTTCTTCGTAGTAACTGATGCAGTGCTGTGTTTTGGATGTAGTGTGAGAATAGTGGTGGTAACACTGATGATTGAGTTGTTGCTGAGCAGTGCTTACCTTAAATCCAGGACTTCTCAGGTTACCGTACTCCACCAGTGAGGAGGTGCACAAGAAGCTGGAAGGAAGCAGGGCCAGGACAGCTGACCCAAACTGCCCAAAGGAATATTTCACACCATAGAGCATCATGTCTAGTATATAAAAAGGAGGAGTTTATATCCTGATCAGCCTGAAGCCACCAGCTGCTGCTTGGGGACTGGACAGGGGGTGGTGAGCAACTGTGTTGTGTATCACTTGTCTGTCTTGGGGTCTACTCATCTCTCTCTTTATCCTTTTAATTTTTATTATTTTTGTTTACTTTATTTCGGTTACTGAAATGTTCCTACCTAAACCTATGAGTTTTACTTTTTCTGATTCTCCATCTTCCCATCCCATGTGTGTGTGTGCCTGTGTGTGTGTACACATATATACTTAGTCACTGGCTGGGGTTAAAACACGACAACACAGAAGGTTTTCACTGTTGGAAAGAGCTGGGGTTTGTTCCCTCCTGTACTGACCTGTAATTATACCATGAAAGCCTCCCGGAGTTTCTTTCAAACCAAGTAAAACAATAAAAGAGCTTTAATACTGCTGGATAGCACTTTGATAGTTCTGCTTGCAAACCACAGGAGGCATTTCACTTCTTCCAGGTAGTCTTTACTTTGCACAAGCTTTTCCTGTTACAGAAATCCTTGATTAGAGTTGCCTGCAAGTTATACAAAATGCATTTTGTAGACCATAGCCCTAAGATGAAGGCTAGCTATCACTCCTAGGATCAATCATACCATTTAAGAACTTACATATTTATAAATATATCAAAAAATGTAATGCTTGTCCTGGTTGTGGCAGTTATAGTTAATGTTTTCCTTAGCAGCTGATACAATGCTGTGTTTTGGTTTGAGGATGAGAATAATGTTGATAAAACACAGCTTCTCCTGCTGCCCTGCCAGTGAGCAGGCTGATGTGCATAAGGATTTGGGAGCAGACATAGCCAGGTCAGCAGACCCCAGCTGACCCAAGGGATATCCCACACCTTATGGAATCCTGCTGAACAATAAGACTGGAGGGAGTTGGCCAGGGAAGGACACTGATCACTCCTTGGGGACTGGCTGTGAATCGATCAGTGGGTGGTCACTCGTCTTGTATATCCTTTTATTATTATTTTCCCCTCCTTTTCTGTCCTGTTAAACTGTCTTTACCTTTTTTCTGATTTTCTCCCTCATCCCACTGGGGGGAGTGAGTGAACAGCTCCGTGTTAAATTAAAGCATAACAATACTATAGATAGCTACTCATTTAACTCAATACTGCATGTTTTTGTGTGGTCAGTAATACTGTACAGCAGTGTGTCCACAATCAAATTTCCTTCTTCAGACTGTAGTTCTGATCCATCCATAATGCTTTTCCAAAAAATACCCACCTACAATCTGAAAGTGTTTCTAAACCTATGGGAACGTCTCACAATAAAACTTTCTTATATTACAATGAGCTGGAAATGCACACCAGCCCAAGGCTACCTCGAGCTGCTCACTGCGATCAAGTTACCTGTGACTCAACAAGTGGCTGAGCCTGCTCTTAGCCCCCAGCAAAACAGAGCAGAAAAACCTCTGTCTTACAAGGATCTAAGCAAACTGTTGGACTGAGGAACAGAGTCCTGGATTTTGGTTCTGCGGCTGCAGAAACTTCACTCTGGAGTCTGGATGCCAGTGGGTTCAGGGGCAGCTCTAGCAAGAGCTGTGAGAGCTGGGATCTGCAGTTGCCAAAAAATGAATCTGTTTGGCAGGAGTCTAAATGTTACCCAGTATAAGATGCAAACTTTGTGATTGTGTCATGTTCTAACTAAAGTTTGCACAAAGATAATTGAAACAAAGTTCTATCTTGATCCAGCTGCCTACTGGCAGTCTGAGGGTAACAAGTCAGAACAAGACCAAAACGAGCAAAGGCAATTAAAAGTACCTCATGCCTCATTTAATCAAAGGGAGACATCTTGTCTAAAATCTTTACCCATGCAAGAAGGCTGAGTAAAACCAGACTGGGTAAAAATGCCTATAATTCCACTCTAAATCTGCTTCCTTTTGTGCTTGTGGCAGGACTCTTAAGTGCACATTCATATGTGAGTTTATCTCCCTAAAAGGAGGCTGGATAAAAAATTCAGATCCCTCTAGGGTACAATCTGTAAAGCTCTTATACAGAAGAATGAGGTTTTGTCATTGGCTTTGGTTTAGAAACTTGTTTGTTACGCAATTGATCGGTGACCGGTAAGTGCCGCATAATTCCCGGCTGGGGAATGCTCGTTAAGACACCGGGGCACTCTCGTCAACACCTTGTCACTCGCCACACAGCTCCGAAACCATCAAAGAGAGCTGAAGGGAGAACAGAGCGAAGCTGCAGAATGATCCACACTTCTCAAAGGTCGTGTGTGGGTGCCCGAATGGAAGCGCACTTTGAGGAACAGGAGCCGCACAGGAAAGAAAACACTATGGGCCTGAAATGGGAATTCGAGTACAGTTTTGAAAAATTTAAACCAAGTGAACACGGGAGGCTCTCACCACATTTCAGGACGATGGTTTTGTACAAGCCGGCGCAGTTACTCGACCGCGGTCAGTAAAGTATCGCCGCAGGAAACACTGGGCGCACTCCAGCACCCAGCCGGGCGCTTCCCGATCCCTCCCTCGCCCCTCCTGGCGGAGGCGCCGCCGCGGAAACAAAGGGCGAGGGGGCGGGCCGAGCGGGAGGAAGGCTCGGAGCGGCAAGGCTCGGCGGTGTCGGCGTGCAGCCGTGCCTCGGTGCACCGCGATGTCGGGCTCGGAGCGGCGGCCGCCGGCGGGTGCGTGTGCGGCGGGGCGCGGGGGGAAGGGCCGGGAAGGGCTGGGTTCCTGCCGGAGCCGGCGCGGAGCGGGAGCGGGATGGGGAATGTCGGGCCCGGGGCCAGCGGGGCTGCCCGGCCGGAGCGCCCGAGCTCCCCCAGAGCGCCGGGAGCGCTGCCCGGAGGGGAGCTCACGGGGAGCGGGGCTTTGCTTCTGTCCTTTCGGTGAAAAACACGTTCCCTCTCCTGTGAAAATGAAAAAAGCTTAACAAAGGACAATAGGAGACAAGACCATAGAGCAAAGGCTATTACGGCCGGGTGCGTATTGGCCCTCAGGCAAGACTACACTTACCTTCGGGGATACTCCTCAAATCAGCCATTACATCTATTGCATCAGCCTGTCGTGTATTCGTAAACAACTATGCATAGTAAACTTTTCCCCCAAACTAGTTTACGGATTCCATGAACTGTTCAGTTTGGGTCTACCTTTTTAGAGAATGTGGATTCCTTGGGTGTGGTTTTAGTCCATTCTTAACACCTCCAGTTTTTAGGCCCTGCTCCACACTGTCTTCAGATGGTGAGTGCTGATAGTTGGCACATCTGTAGCAGGTGTCTTCTTTATATATTCAGCGGATGTTATCCCATCCAAGCAGGCATTTTAACACAAGCATATTATAACAGCTATTTCACTAAGCTTAATTAACAACAGAAAAAAACCCTGTATCTTTATTACAAAGTTGCTTTAACATTACACATCTAAAATCCATTTAATACTTGCAAAAATCCAGTATTATAATATGTATGTATAACATTTCCTTCCTGAGGAGGAGGGGAACGGGGAAGGTGCGAGGCAAAGGCCGGCCAGCGAGGAAATGGATTTGCAATGCATCCAGGGCACGCCGCGCAGGGGAAAACCCCTCCGGCTCCCGGCACGGCCGCGGGACAGGGAAGCGGGAAAGGTCCCAGGCGGGTAACTGGAGGGCAGGAGAAGTCAGGGCAGCAAAACTGGAGCTGGGTTCCCGGAGATGCAGCTTGCCTGAAAGGGACTTCTTTTGTGTGCCATCCGGTTATTTCTAAGTGCTTTGCCCTTTGGTGTTGATGGCAGACCTGATGAGACAGAAACGCATCCAGGGATAGATGCTGTGAGATTCCGGTGTAACCTAACCCATACCTGATTTTTGATTCCTTTGAAGCAATCCGTCTTCACAAAATTAAAGACAAGTAGTCCCGTTGGTATCAACCAGATTTTAGAACAAGCTTGTTCCTGTGTAAGACAGAAAACTTTTCATAAATCATGATAATTCAAATAGCGTATTTGTGAATGAAGCTGCGATACGAGAGCGACAATGAAAAACCAAAGACTAGGAAGTTACTAAACAGGATTAAATTAACAGGAAAACCATCTTTCCTAGTTTTCTGTCACCCAGGAATTCTAGTCCTCCTGTGTCTACATTTTCTGTCTTAAACTTTGATGACTATAAAATTTAATGATCTGTTTCAGGGGGAGTGGATCGCAAGAACTTTTGTCCTCTATCAATACATTAGTTTTGCAAAAAGCATTAATAATATTTGAAAAAGAGATGTGAAGAGCTAGTATTGTATGTGCAAAGTAATTTGCAAAATACATGTACATGTGACTCTTTTTATAATTGCAGGCCATGTCCAGCTGGATAGCAGACCTATATTACCCACCACAGGTACAGTGTCCTGTACAGTTCTTATAATGTGGATAATGTGGTAGTTAGTCTCTACCAGTAGTAGTAGTAGTGATTTAATAGCCCACTGAGATGCTTAAGTAAGAGGAACAAGGATTTTAGCCTAACCATCTGCAAGTCTGTAGTTCTGCACACTCCCAAGATGTACATGTTCCTTGTTGTTCCCACATTGTTACTTTTATGTCCATTCTGTATTCGAGGTACTTAAAGCCTGTAGAGTTCAGTAGAAGAAAAAGTTTCAGTCTTGCATCTTCTCAGTTGTCAACAGCTGTTACACTATCTACTGTGACTCCTGTGCTGCATCCAACCCCAAAGAGAATGCTCAGCTTTGTATTAGCAGCATTACTGAAAGAAAAGAAACACCAATATATTTTTAAGTTATGTAAGATTTTTACTGTTGAGTTAGTCTCGTTTAAAAATACACCGAGCTAGTTAGTTATATAAAATCATAATCTCTGAATATGTTTATATAGGTACAGAGACACAGACAGATAGAAAATATTCATATCTTGACCACCTGAAATTTAGACTGCTGGAGTCAGAACTTCCAGAACAACCTCCAAAAGCTGTGGGTGCAGACAAAAACTAATGAGGCTGTTTACCTGCATGCCTACTTACCTGATGTGTGAATGAGCTTTTGGCTCACATTAACAGCTAAACTTTAAGGCTGGATGCATAAGTTCAAATTGGTTTTGTTTGTTTTTAATGAATGAGTTTGTGGCTAAATAACTTTTTGATTTCTCTAACAGATGGAAATGAGAACATCACAGAAGTAGATGCACTCACTATAAGGTAAAGTTCTGGTGGCAGTAACAGAGATGTCCCAAGGGACTGAGGTCAGTGCAGGGTTTTCTGATTTTTGTTAAGAATTTGATAGAATTATTTGATTCAACTCCACCCACTTACAAAGCATGTTTGTAGTTTTAGCTACACCAGCTGCAGATGTGAAGGCATGTGGAAGGGACCATGAGGAGTGTTCTCTTTTTATTGTAGGCAATGTGCAAAGACCATCACAATCTAAGAAGCCACTGGACAGACTAAGGTTGTAACACAGGAATGTATTCCTCTGGAAGGAGGGGAAATGGACCATGGAACAGTGATTCCATGAAAGTCCAGAAAACAGTAAACTACCTGCCTGATAACTTTGCCTCATCCATACAGCTGAGTAGAGAAAGACCTATTTAGGGCATCATCCTTCAATGGTCATTCACAGGACGCAGTGACCAAGCTGTCCAAAATCCCCACTAGCCATGCACCTAGCCAAATCCTAAGGAAGAGAAATTGCCAGAATCTGAAAAAATTCTGGTACAGGTGAAATTGTTCATAATTACAAGGCTAAAATTTATAATCTTTGCATTTTATCATGTTTGATACTCAGAATGGGAAGAATGTGATAAAGCACCCAATTTCTCTTATTGGTTATCCAGCCCACATTGTTAAATCTCCCTGACTTTGAACAGTCATCCTAAATTCCTGTTCTCTGTCTGAATTCTTATGTATATGTTACAAAAATGTGTTTCATTAAGGGGATTCTCATAACAAAGTGGAGAAGCAGAGATAGTCTACAGGTAACAATGGTAATTTTGCTGTGAAACAAAAACATTTGCTGATGAAACTCTGATCATCAACATCTGCAGGCAAATATTCTAAGCAACTTTCTCCTGTAATTGCACCAAACCTGAATATTCCATAGCATGAAAGAAAGTACTAACATGGCAGCTCTGACCAGAGCCAGTCCTAGGGCAGCATGACCTGGACTATCATTCCGTGTACCTCGAACTCTGGACCTGTCTATTGCCAGCGCTGCTGCCAGAAGTGTTTCAGTTTCTGTTTTCTGCACCAATAAAACAAAAGCAGAAAAATTGTCAGCTTTGTCTTTCTAATTACAGCCATGTCAACACTTAGGGTCTTTTGGGTCCACAGCCAAGTCCAGAGTATGCTGTCACACATCCTATGCTGTGTTTTGCTCATAAACCAATAAAATTGCAGAATGCTACTCTCAAAACACACAGGTATTCTATGTGTTTGTTGCCATAATAAAGTCCTCTACTTAGAAGCTGGGTTGGTCATTTATTCCTTAAGACCTTCGTCCTTCAGCTTCAGGATTTTGTGGGCTGGTTGCTAAAAACTTAGATGAACTTCTCAACTTGTCAAATTAAATTGTCATAGCTTTATGGCTTTCATTTCATTAGGGTAAGTAACAAACATTTGTTCTCCTTTTGCAAGATACACTACACTTAGCACCTCATCCCCAGTGTATAGTCTATTGATTACAGTGCAGCACTTGATTTACTTAGAAAAACTTGAAGCAAATCACAGACAGCTACAATTCCAAATAAGTACTTGTGTACTATCCAATTACGTTAATATTTAGCTAAACACATAACATGGAGAATTGGAGCCATGTCTGAAATGCACTGTTATGTGCCTTAACTAATGAAACGGGCTCGATTACCAAAAATGTTTTCCCTCTGTGGCAGCAGACAATCACTTGATCCTGCAGTGGAGTACAAAATGAACCATCAAAGAAGAGGACTTGCATTGATCTTCAATCACGAGCACTTTTTTTGGCATTTAAAGCTGAACGACAGACGTGGGACTATGGCAGACAGAAACAATCTGAAACGCAGGTAAGAAACTTGGTTGCTCTACTAACCCTTAAAAAATCTGAACTTTAGAAATCGTGGTCAAATTAAGGAGTTACCAAAATCTTGTGTTTAAATAGAGACCAGAAGATTTTGCAGACATAGCACCTATGCAACTTGAATGAAGAAAGCCATAATTAAAAAGCTTCAAGGCACATTTTTTTTTTAGGTGACAGAAACTGCTGGCATAAGTCCTGTGAGTCCAGAGCTTTCTTTGGACAAACTCTTGGAAGTAACTTTAGGTGTTAGACCTGTACTTGACAACAGTTTGAATTCAAAATCAACTTTAGTAGTTTTCTTCATAAATATGCACAAGAATATTAATTCCCCCACAGGAAAAGAAACTGAGTTGGTAGCAATTGATACATAATTTGAGCAAAAATTTTACTAACACTGATCTGTTCTAACAACAGTTTGACAGACCTTGGGTTTGAAGTCAGACTTTTTGATGATCTGAAAGTAGAAGATGTGCAGAAGAAAATTTATGAAGGTAAGAGACTGTGTATTGGTTATATCTATTGCAGCAGAATTCCCAGATACCTTTTCTTCCAACCTCTCCATTCATCTTATTTAAAATAAATTTTTGTGCACAAGCAATTTAACATTAGAAGCATGTAAAGGTTAGACTGAAAATTATTTTACTGCAATGTAAGTGAAGCTTCAGTGGAGAGAACTAAGTCTCTAAAAGCTCTAAGATGGTACGTGCAGCTGGGAGAAGGTAATTACATTCTTCTTTTTATGGTTAGGGCCCCTTCAGCCAGGTTGAATCAATGCACATTGAAATCCCTACAATATGGCTTTTCCTGAAAATAGCATCCATTTGAAAAATGACTGACTGGGGATTCAAGGATATGATATGAATGTACAATATTTTTTAGACCTGAATATGACCTGGATATGACTGTTTTGTCATTTAAACACCACTCGACTATTTCAGCCTCTAGGGAGGACCACAGCAATGCTGACTGCTTTGTGTGTGTGTTCCTGAGCCACGGTGAGGATGGTCACGTTTATGCATACGATGACAAAATCAAAATTCAGACAATCACAGACATGTTCAGAGGAGACAAGTGCCAGAGTTTGGTAGGAAAACCAAAGATATTTATCATTCAGGTAAGATGTCTGTTTCTGAATTCAGTGAAGTTAACACTGACTTGTGTCTTCCTGCAATACAGCTGTCAGTTTTCCCGATGCAGCCTTTCCACAAGGCTTTTAAGACTAGGATTCTTCTCTTTTTATTAGAAACCGTATTGTATACTAACAGCTGTTTTAATAAGTAATTTTACAAAAAGAAACACAAATTAAACATGTGTCAGATAGACTGTCAGTGTGTATTTAATAGCAGACAAGGCAGTACCAGGGTTTTTTGCAGCCTCAGCTCAGTTCCTATTGGTCCAAGACTAAGCTGATAAAGCTATCTAACCTTTGTATTTTCATTGCTTCCTTCCAGTTTCATTGCTTCCTTCCAGGCAAGTCCCTTTACTTGATCCTCAGTGAAGTTGGATTTTATGTTTGGGTTTTTTGACTGCTTTCTTTTTTTTGTGGGACTTTTTGGTTGGTTGGTTTTTGTGGTGGTGATGATTTTCATTTGTTGTTGTTGGTTGTTGGGTTTTTTTGTCTATGACCTATACTTGGCATCTCTGTAGAATCCAAAGAATCAAATTAAGGTTTTATTGTCTCAGGAATACTGTTTCTGCTCAGTAGTCAAAAAATGACCATATATAATCTCCTATTATTTTCCTTGGTTCACAGGAGAATGAAAGTTGGGACCTCAGGAGGTCTCTGGTCTAGGCTCCTGTTCAAAGCAGAGTTATGGGGTCAAACCAGGTCATGCAGGGCTTTATCCCATCTTTATCCAGATTACAATAAGGAAACTCATATATGAGCCTGGCCTTCAGCATATTGTAACTGTAGTAGTTTACAGAGTAATTCTAAGTATGACCTTTTTTTTTCCCAAATGCAAGCTTCCTTGTAAGGGTACGGGGTTGCTGCAAGAAGCATCATATTGTTAATTCACCCTTCATTAGGACTCATTCAGATTTCTTTTTTTTTTTTTTAACCTGGTGCCAAAGATGGAAAAAATACTTTCATATTTCAATTGTAGTAAGTAATACTTGGAAACATTTATGATATATACTCATCAAAAAGCTAATTAACTTAGTTCATCAGCTGAGATCTTTTCCAGCACAACTGGCATAGCAACTACCTCTGAAAATCAGAAGAAACATGAAGATGAAACTTTATCACTGTAAAGAAGATTCTTTATGTTTTTCTTTTTTTAGTGGTAGTTCTGAAGTAATGCTCCTTTCTATCTTGTGTGTTTTCACCTTGTTATCCTCCATGGAATGTTTCTGCACCACTGACAATAGTGGGATCACTACTGACTTCTCACAAAAAACCTTCCCTCAACAAACACACTTGAGACTGCACTAAGAGCAGGAGTGTAACAGCATGTAATGATGGCTGTGCTTCAGAGCAGTAATTCAACACTGCCTTGCCAGTAAGGGAGGCAGTTCTTCCTCTCTGCTCAGCAGTGGTGAGGCTGCCTCTGAAGTATTGTGTCCAGTCCTGAGTTCCGCAGTTCAACAAAAATGCACTTACTGGAGTGAGTCCTGCAAAGGGCCACAGAGATGATTAAGGGACTCTGGGGCATGTTTGATGTGAGGAGAGGCTGAGAGAGCTGGACTGTTCAGCTTGGAGGAGATGGCTCAGGGGAATCTTACCAATGTTCTGAACACCTGGTGGGAGGGAGTAAGAGGGAGACAGGCTCTTTTCAGTGGTACCTGAGTGACAGGTTAAGAGGCAACTGGCACAAATTAAAACACATAAAATTTCATCTCAACACAAGAAAACATTTTTTTTACTGTGAGGTTGGTCAAACACTGGAAGAAGTCACCCATACAGACTGTGGAGTCTCCACCTATGAAGATCCTCAAAAACTGACTGGACGTAGTCCTGGACAGCATGCTGTAGCTTACACTACTTGAGTCAGGGGGCTGGACTAGATATCTCAAGAGATCCCTTCCAGTCTTCGTGATTCTGAGATCATCTTTGAGCTTTCAATGGACTTTGTCCCCAACGTTTTAAGGGACAGAGAAATAAACGTGTCTTTCTGAAGGCAGAGCCATGGTAATGTGGCACACCTAGTTGAAAGAAGTGCCTCTGGTTAGTGTCAGAATTATCCTATTAACAGTGAGCTCAGCAGGGGTGCAGGCGTAACACACTTCTCACCAACAGGCCTGTCGAGGCGACAAACATGATGATGCAGTCATTGCTCACGACTCAACAGACAACAGCAGTGAATCCCCTGTCAATGAGACTGAAGTGGATGCAGCTGGTGTCTACACTCTGCCTGCTGGTGCAGACTTTATCATGTGCTACTCTGTGGCAGAAGGTGAGTTCTGATATTTTACATCCAGTGTCTGTTACTTCACTCTAACAGCCCTGAACATGTCTTCATTTTGCAGTCCAAAAAATGAGAACAGTTCCATGTAAATCTGATTTACATGTCTGTTAAGTAGCAACTTGTCTGGGAAAGCATGTTATGTGCTAAAGAAGAAGTGAAAGTAAATTATCAAGGTGCATTAAATTTGCCAAACAAAAACATTGTCATCAATCTTGCAGCTGAGCTGCCTCCTGACAGTCAACATCCATCTCTTTTCCAGGATTCTGCTGGTTTAAAAATTTCCCTGCACTACATGGCTGTTCTCTCCAGTCCCCCCATGTATGTTGTCCTCAATCCCATCTGCTCTCTTATGAAGTAGAGATGCAGTCCTGTAAGCTACCAGTCCCTGAATCATGTTGCTCTTAGCTGAGCACCACAAGTCGTACCAAAGCCACTTCCCATCTACAATTTGCAGTTTAATTGGCAAAGTAAGACTTAGACCCATTAGTAAATTCCTTACAGATGGTAGCTGGCAAACAGTGACTCTCATAAATATTTTTCTAAGAGGTTACCACTACTAACATTTGGATGTAATTTTATGCTCTTTTTCTACTGTAGGCTACTATTCTCATCGTGAAACTCTGAATGGCTCCTGGTACATCCAGGATTTGTGTGAGACCCTTAGGAAGCATGGAGCTTCCTTGGAGTTCACAGAACTTCTTACTGTTGTTAACAGGAAAGTATCATATCGCAGAGTAGATATGTGCAAAGATATTAATGCTATAGGGAAAAAACAGATTCCTTGTTTTGCCTCAATGTTAACTAAAAAATTGTATTTTCATCCAAAATCTAAGTAGATTATTTAGCAGTGATGACTATTACCTCCTGCAGAGCAAAGAATACCATCTTAGTTGAGGAGACATAATATTCTGCAAGACTGTCTGCAACATCACTGGGATCAAATGTTACAGTTTGTATATCTAATAGTTTCTAAAATCTTGAAGCAGTTTTAAAGTTAGAATTACACCAGGGAATTCATCTCAGGGAATATGGGAGAAGTTGACTGGTGCCAGAGTATTAGAAGGTGCTCAGATTTTATGGAAACTGATGCTCCAGACTACTTTTTTCTTAAAAGCTTCTTGCTTGATTGCCATCTAACTATGGCACACTTTACTATTTCCAAAACATTTCTAAATGTTCTATTAGATTAACTTTTCTTGCTCCTAGAGCAGAGTTTACAGGGAATATGGTTTGTAGGACATCTTTTTAAATATGCAGACAGCAGAATCCACAACTTTTGTAGCTTTTTTGGGCTTTTAAAACATTTTAAAAATTTTCTTGCAACACTAAAAAGGAACTTAATTCCTTGAGTACAACTGGCATTAATACAGGATTAATCAAATAGGGTTGATTAATAAAGGGTTTCCTTTTACTTGAATAAAATTTATGCTTGGGATACAATTACAATTTGCCGGTGCTTTGCATCCTCAGGAGAAAAACAGCAGTAATGAGACAAGACCATGTACAGTTTGCTCAGGGCGAGCTTGTCTTGTCCATTTCTCTAAAGCTAAAGCTGCTGGACAGCTCTAGGCAACTCTCCAAAATATAACAGATGCAAACCTTCATGCTTCAGGCCTTTAAGTTGCATCAGGCCTCCTCTTGGCCATGGAGAAGATCAGCCATACCTCTGGCATTGTGTACATAAAAGTGATGGTGCATGGTCACCACAGCATTGTTACTGCTGCAGTAATTGTGGTACTGACTTGAACCAAATAATATATATTTTTTTAGCATTATTGTTCCTCTGAGGATCAACAGGGAACTCAAACTGAGCAAAGTGTCTTAATCCACTTTCCTGGGAAAAAATAATTGGTTTACTGGTTCTGCTTTAGTTAAGTCTTTCCATATACAATGTTCTGAGTCATAAATGCTGTATCTTACTACACCTTCTTTCAAACAGGTGTATAAATCATGTTATGTTTGAATGTTTTGATAAATTCTTTTAATAAAATGTAACAGTGAAACATAAATGATTTAATAGCAAGTTTGAGATACCTTACTTTTCCAGCTCTAATCCACTTTCCCGTGGAAAAAAAATAATCGGTTTACTGGTTCTGCTTTAGTTAAGTCTTTCCATATACAATGTTCTGAGTCATAAATGCTGTATCTTACTACACCTTCTTTTAAACAAGTGTATAAATCATGTAAGTTTGAATGTTTTGATAAATTCTTTCAATAAAATGCAACAGTGAAACATAAATTATTTTATAGCAAGTTTGAGATACCTTACTTTTCCAGCACTATTTACTAAGAAAGCTTAATTGTCATGCTAATCTAAACTTCATCTATGGTGCCACAAATAGTCAATGCACAGACCAGGGAAAAGGAAACCGTAATTTCAGGAAAAAAATCTTTACTACTCCATGCAGAAATTATTATCCTATGACTACTGTTATGTTATAGTAAATGGTACTAAAAAGGCTGTCCTTGTTCTGTCATTTTACCAGCAGTAAGAATTACCAGCCTCCATTGTACTAGTGAGATTTGACAAATATTTAGAAGAACTTTGCTTTAGCAGTTTCTTAATAGAAAAAAGAAAAAAAACCCAAACAAGCAAAACAAACCCAAACCAAAGTAACCAAAGTAACATCAAGTAAGCAGATAATTTTTAAAGCTATTTATTGCAACTTTTAAAACTTCAGTGGTCAAAAATACCCAGGTGCTATGGAGTAACTTAATGTTCATATCAGTTTTGAAAGGGCATCCCCAATATACACAAAACCAAAGTCAGTCCTTGTCGTTGATTTCCTGGATGGGAAGCCTCAGGTGCAGAGGTTGGCGCAGACGCCTTAGGGATTCTTCTGCCTGCCAATGAAAGAGAGAGGGAGAGTTCATCCTTCTGCAGCCTCTGTTTTCTGCTCTTTCACACATGCACTGTCTTTTTTTTCTCAGAAGGCACCGGTCTTAGGCAAGGAACCAAACCAATGACAGACCTGCTCAACTCGTGCAGTCTCCAGAGAGAACATGAACACTGCACATCAACCCACTCACCCACACCTCAAAGGATTATTTTCCTGAAATGACCCTTTAAAAATCCATATCCCCAGGCCACTGAAAAAGCATCAAACTCTAACATTACGTCAATTATGGCCCATGAAATTACACCCTGAACTATGGGTTTTGAGCTAAAATTAGAGGTAGTTTCCATTTTCTTTTGTAAGACATTGAACACAGGGCTGTCAAGATGGGATGGAGGAGTAACAATTGAGGAGTGAGAGATCTGCTACAGCTATTTCATAAAGGCCACCAAATTTCTCCTAGGTGTATACACCACCTTTTCCATCCACACATATTCTGTAAATCTAAGTCTTTTACCAATGGAATAAGGCTATGATGTGAAATGCTGAACACTCTGCATGGCAATCTCCTTCCAAGGAAGGGAGGAGATTGGCTTAGCACAGCAGTGCAGCAAACATACTGTGCCCAAAATAAATGCAGCTATTGTATCAAATGGCCAAAAATGCAACATTAATTAGAGTATGCAAAAAACAGATGTCATGCTGATAAACTGACTTGTTTTAAATTAAATTCATGGAGGTCTCCCTTTCTGATGACCTACAGAAGTAGTTTACACATCAAAGGCAAGTACTGTATGATTATCTGAACAGCTGTAACTGGCCGATAAGCAATGCAGAGTTTTGATAGCAAGCCTCAAAGGTCAATTTTCTGTTAGCTGAGAGTTTACTGGAAATGTCTTAAGCCAGAAGTTGTGCCATTACTGCAGGACTGCACTTAAATACCTCTGCTAGGTCGTCTTTCAGCTTGTTGTATCGTTCCACGTTGAAACGCTGCTTTTTGGATTTGCGGTAGAAGTAGTGGAGGAACTGCCTGTCCTTAGCTTGAGGATAAATGTAGTCCTGGGGAAGGAAGGAGGACATGGATTTGTGGTTAGCAAGGAAACTGAGTAGAGGTCAGCAGATTGGAAACTCATCCTGTTTCCAGAAGACTTACCTTGTCCAGCACCTTTTGTAAAGAGGCTACCTATGAAAATCTGCTCTTACAGGGGACATAAGGGCTTTTTAAACACACAGTAGGAGTCATTTCTATCATGTCTGAAGAGATTTTCAGTAATAATAAAGACACAGTATGATCTTTGTGACTGGAGCCACCTCAGGCGATGGAGTCTACTTCCAAGGAGTCAAAGAAAATTCAGGAACTACTTATTGAGGACTTAACTGAAAGTCTTAAGCAATGGCACAGGCAGCTGTTCAAAAAGGCCAAGTAGTAATCTCTTTATCTACTCACAAAAAGTAGGAATGGTTTAGACCTTCTTAAAAACCAGTCAGAAGGAGTAAAAGCCATATTCTGAGCCAGCTCTTCATAAAAACAGATACGTCTCCCCTTTTCACTGAAGGAATCTAATTTCCCACATGGTCTATAGATCTACTGGTATAATGGAAGAAAGTACTGGTTACTCTTCCACATACTTCCACAACAGAAAAAGTTTTGCATCATAGAAAGTTCAACATCAAGATGTTCACTTTGAGAGTAAAGTACAGAGCTAAAACGGGAAAAAGAAACATTTCTCAAAGTCTTAACGGGATTTCAGAACAAGTCTGTATTGTGAAGCTAAGTTAAGATCTGAGCAAACTTTCTGCTTCTACACAATGCCTGCCTCATTTCAGCTGTCCTAGATTTACCTCCATTCATTCTAAATCATGGAAAAGCAGTCAGATTATGAAGAGTGGAGCAATAATATTTTTTCAGGCACTAAATATATTTCAGTATATTTCAGTAATGCAACTGCAAGAGTTCCAAACAGTTTGGTACCCTGCCCTGTATATACACAAAGTCCAGCAAATAAAAACTACTGTTGGGGTGATTTGCTGATGTAAGGCAGAATTCACAAACTGCACAGTACAAGCAGTTGCTCTTCCACTACTGCAGTGAGCAAGGTGCCATTTGTATGCAAAGTGATCCACAAACATTTTAAAGGAGAAACTTCTTTCCTCACCTTTCATTCCCTAGGTTATGAAATCCTGCTGACAGTAGTTATGCTCAGTAGCTGGCCTGCAGTTCATGTGCAGCAGTACCTGCTTGATTCTGCAAGATGTAATGTTTGTACCCAGCTGCATTAGGGATCAAACAAGTCCTTGTCTGATGGCAAGGCCACTTACTGAATTCTGTTTTCATCAGAGCTCAAACATTGTGATTTGCAGACTCAGTTTTCCTCCGTTTCCACATTCCAGACATTTAGAAGACAAGGACTCACTCACCTGCTTGGTAAGAACGAAGTAGGCGTAGAAAGCCATGGCGCTCCCGTAGGTGATGAAGTATGTGACTGGCTCCATGATGTCCCACGAGTAGACCCACCACGTGAGCCATGCCAGCGCTCCTCCCTGAGTGGACATCAGGGCTAGGCCAACCCATAAAAGCCTGGAGGTTTTTGCATCTGCACTGTCCATGATTCTGGCTTTCATCTGAAGAAAAGAAATGCAGAAACCCGTTCAAATAAACATGAGTGCTCCTCTGATGAACAGCTCCTCAACTATGCTTTCTTCCCCTGGGCTAGATCCTTTCTCAGGATCTCTTACCAACGCCTCTTAGTGACTTACCCTGCAGAGAAAATAAAAGCACTGAAGTCCAAGGGCAACCAGATCTTCTTGCCACTGTGCACCACAAATTCCTGCTATTAATCTCCCCTTTGCTCTACCAAGGATCTATGTCTGTTTGATTTCCATTTACCATTCAAGGCAGTGCTGGGTAACACTCAGCCTGGCCCTCATAAAGCAGGAGCCCTGCTGTCCACTACCCTAAGCCAGGGATGGCAACCCTACTACTGTGGTGTTTTGCTGTCATGGGTATCCAGAACTCACAAAGCAACAGGTGACCTTCAATGACATTTCAACAAATGGCCTTTCAATCTCAGTACTAGCTATGTTCATGACAGCTTTCTCCAGGTGTTGTGGTTTCTATCCCATTAAGGTCCACAATAGAAGAAAAATAACTGAATTGAAAATAATTTGCATTCTACCTGAGTTGACCTCGTTTACATAACAAACAGAAGAAACAGAACAGTCACACCCTAGCCATTCATTTTCTTCTGTCATAGGACTTCTGATGAAAGGAAAAGCTTTTGAGTTTTAAAAAAAAGTACCCCCACTTTCCAACCTGTTCAAGAGGAAGTAGCTCTCCTTTCAGATGGTCCAATTTCTGTAGCAATTCTCTCTCTTTCCTGATCTGGTGATCTTCTAAATGTAGAGCCACAAACAGTCTGTGAACCAAGGATTTGATATCTTCCATTTCAGTAGCATGCTCACTACTCAGCTTATCTGAAAAGAATATATTTGTCATATACACCATTTGAAGAATACACCCTTCTTCATTCTCTCCCCTCCTCCAACCCCAAAGGCAGGACCATCCAAAGGTAAAAAGACAAAGCCAAAGAGAAACGCCTTTCTCCCAGGTCCCAGTTTTCTGAGACTTCCCATGCCTTTCACTAAATGAAGTGAGATGATCAGTTATTAAGGACTGTTCTTACCTTTCACAGGAGGTGACACACTGTATGCTGTGTTGTTGATAACAAGCTTAAAGTCATTCATCAGTAAGACCTCCATTAAGGTTGCATCAGAGACCTTGGTACCATCTGCAGAAGAAAGATTTCAGTTCCAGTTCACTTATCATGAGGAGTTCTAAACATCAGCAGATAACCCTGTAGAAAACTGCTGGGGTTCTTCACTAAAAATGTTTGGAAGCAACTTGAGTTTTAGAGCTGGCAGATAATACTAAACAGTCAGGAGGAACCCCGGGTGTGATTCTTGGGGCTGTCCTGTGCAGGGAAAAGAGTCGAACTTTGATGCCCTGAAAAACCTTTTTTTTTTTTTTTTTTCCAAATGCAGATTGACATGAATGAATGATACCCCACAAATGTTACATGCAACTTTACAGTTCCCACCAAAAAGGAAAAAAGGAGCTCTGGATTAATTAGCATGTAACAGTGGCTGCCAGGAGCACATTGGGGCTCAATAGCCCAAGAGCGCCCAGAGCCACACACCACTGCTCCTGGACACATCACTGTGGCACAAGGGTTTGAAAAGCCATGGACCAGCTGCCCTGCAGTAGCTGTTAGAGAAGATTCTCATTTTCTATACACAAAAAGGGCACCCTCCCCTGCCCTTGCCAAAGGCTAGGCAGCTTTCCTCCCAAGATGAATAACTGAACAGGCTACAAAATACCAAGAGTTTTGTATGTAGATATTTG